AGTCAGCTTTCCTAAGAATACCCTTACAAATAGGAGCCCCTAAGTAAGTGAATGGTAGTTTGCTGAACTTCATCTTTAATATGTGTTCCATCTTGACAATATTTCTTTGCTTTATTCCCTTCCCACAATAAAACTTGCTCTTGCTGAGATTAATCTCCTGACCAGAGCCATTGAGGTAAGTCCCTAACAGAGCTCTCAGCTTTAGCAAGTTATTGGTATTCCCATTACAAAAAATAATGATGTCATCTGCAAAAGCAAGGTGGCTGATGAGTAGATCCCTGCCTGTATTATAATTTTGGATTTTAGAGGATGCCATTTCTGTTTTCAATATTCTGGAGAGCCCCTCACTAGCAATAATGAATAGCAAAGGGGATAGTGGATTGCCTTGTTTAACTCCTCTGCTCATAGGAAAGAAACCTTTAGGGCTCCCATTAATCATTATGGAGATGTGTGTACCCCTGAGGTTAGCTAGGAGAAGTCCCTGATTGTGTTCTGAAAACCCAAGTTTCTTTAAGATCCCCTGTATGTAGTCCCACTCCAAGTTGTCAAAAGACTTGGCCATATCTAATTTGATAATGACATTGCCTCCTCTGATCTTAGAATCAATCTTGTGAACCATCTCTTCCACCAAAAGTATTTGTTCGTCAACCCCCATCCCTGTTTGGAAGCCAGTCTGCTCTGAAGAAATAATCTTGGGTAGCAACTGTTGAATTCTGTCAACAAGTATTCTAGTGTTTACTTTACTCATGAAGGTGGAGAGTGAAATGGGCCTATAGTCTCCAAAGCTCTTAGGATTATCAATCTTAGGGATCAAGGATAGAAAAGTACTACCATAACTCTTTGGCAGATTGATCCCAATGAAAAACTCCTGTGTAGCACTTATCACATCATTTTGAATAATATGCCATGCTTCCCTAAAGAAGGATCCATTGAACCCATCCGGGCCAGGAGCACTGTTAGGATTAATACTCCACACTGCCTCCCTAATCTCCTCTGCTGTTGGTATTTTGCTGAGCTTGTCATTGTCCTCTTGTGTAATCACTGTCTCCAGGTAATCAAGAACAGGAGTAGTAACAATATCTTTCTTAGAGTTGAAGAGATTGTTGTAGTAGTCAATAGCCATATTATGAATAACCTCTCTATCTGTGTGCTCTTTCCCTTGGCTGTCCACAATCCTTCTGATTTGATTTTTAGCTCTCCTACCCTTGACAAATGCATGGAAAAACTTGGAGTTACAATCTCCATCCTCCATCCACTTGATATTGGCTTTTTGCTTCCAGTAGCTGAGTTCATAATCTATAGCTAGGATTAGTTGAGCTTTAGCTTTATTCTCCTGTTCTCTATTTGCAGGACTAGGATCTTTTTCAAAATTTTCCTGTGCTTGAATGGCTGTTTGCTCTGCCCCCTTTAAATTACTGAAAATATTACCAAATGTTTTGGTGTTCCAGTCCATGATATGTCCTTTAAGCTCTTTGAGTTTTCTTGCCAGTCCTTCCATGCCTCCATGTTGATTAGTTTTATCCCAGGAGTCTGTAACCACTTTAAGGAAAGTTGGATGGTTTAGCCAGGCATCTAGAAATCTGAATGGCTTAGGGCCTCCCAAAGGTTCCTTCTTACACTGGAGGAGTAAGGGTTTATGATCTGAGGATGTTTTGCTAAGATGCATGATAGAGATATCTTCAAATTCCTCCAGCATCTTGTTGTTGACCAAAACCCTATCAAGTCTCCTCATGACCCTGCCATTACTTCTATTACCCGACCAAGTAAACAAGGAGCCTATAGTGTGGGGAGTAGTGAGACCACAAGAGCTGATGCAAGCTTTGAATTCCTCCATGTCTCTAGCGTTGGGATGATTTTTGCCATCATGCTCTGAGTAGTCTGCAACTGTGTTGAAGTCTCCCCCCACAATCCATTTACTCATAGGGATGAGCTTGACAAGTCCAGCCCATAATTCCCTCCTTTCCTGACCAGTATGTCTCCCATAGACAGTTGTAATTCTAAGATTTTCCTTTGTGATGGTGTCCATAAGATCACAGTTGACCCACTGAACATCCTCCTCAATATTAAATAAGGTAAGATGAATATCTGACCAGAAGACCCATATTTTGTTATTTGAAGAAGCATAATATTTACTAAATCCCAGATCCAGACCATATTTACCAATCTGGGAGGCTGAAACTATAGGCTCAATAATGGCAAGAAAGCTGATTTTGTGTTCTTTTTTATATACTTTGATCCTTTTAAGAGAGGATCTAACTCCACAAACATTCCAAAAGAGGGCTAACATTAAAGACTAATGTACTTAAAGTCTTTATGGCCCTTATGGCTTCTTGTAACAATTGTCATTAAGGGTCCTTCCTTCTTGTTTTTCTTCCTCCTAGGGGCAGAGATTGGAATGGCATTAGCTTCTGGTATTTTAAAGCTTTGTGGCTTTAGCTCTGATGAGTCTCTAACATATTCAACTTCTTCATCATCTGAGTGCCTGACCATCTCTGTATGATTTTCTTCCTCTTCTGTTTGGGTGGAATGTTGAAGTTCTTCCACTAACATTGCTAAGCCTTTTTCAGGGGAAAGATTATGAAGACAGTCATCCAATGAGTATGTTGACCCCATAAAAGGTGTATTTTTCCTATCAGCTTTCACCTGATGTGGCGTATCCTTCAAGTAGGTTGTTTTCCTGTAGAAATACTCCTTTGCTTCCTGGAGGGAGGGAAAAAAGGAGGAGGATTTTTCTCCTGGGGAGGTACTGACCAGGGGTTGTAAATCCAAGAGTTGACAGGATAGGGACTCTTGCTGTATGGGATCCATTATAGTTGGGCCCAACTGTGTGACAGTGTTATCCATCAGGTTTAGAGGGGAAAACCTATTAGGATGGAGTGTAGTGTTTTTAACTTTCCACTCAAATTTTTTGGGCCCATGTTGCAGTGTTTTCCCATTCGTTCTGTCTGCTTGTGACTGGAGTTGTAATTTTGTCTTCTTGTTTTTGACCGTTTGCCATTGTTCACCATTCCCTTTGGCAGTGCCCCCTGAAACCTTGCCGGAGGGAAGATTTCCGGTATCTTGATATTTTTGAGCATGATTATGTTGGCTTTCCTTATGACCCAGGAGTGAGCAGAGATTGCAGAAAAGTGGCTTATCCTCATACGTACAGTTGGTAAAGAAATCTTTGCCCCCCATTCTGATATGAAGCTTTGGTGGAGGTGAGACTGATAAATCAAGTTCAATGCATATTCTAGCACCCTCCCTTCTATCTCTATTAACAGTGTAATCATCCATTTTAACAGGTCGACCCAGCAGAGAAGCAATAGAGAATAGTGCCTGGTAGTCAATGAGGTGCAGAGGCAAGGGATCCAAAGACACCCAGACTGGGAAAATAAGAGAATCTGCCCTGGGATTGTAATCTCTAGTCCATTTGAAAACATAGAAAGATGTATCATAAACGTACCATTTATGTTTCCTAACGAATCTGATGTAATTTTCCTCTGCTTTGAATGTGAACAAGACATCCTTGGAGTTGATTCTTCTAATCTTGAAAGCCCCAAATCCCAGCTTGAGTAAAAATAATTTTAAAACTCAAAGATGAAGATCTTTGTGGAATCTCCCTACAGCTGAAAACCCCAGCTTGCTCTCCAGCTTTTCTTCATCTTCGATTGAGAAGCTGATGGATGGAATTCCATTGTAGAAGCCTTCCCTAACTCCCACACCTTTAGTATTATGCACTTGGAAAAGCTGAGAGAAGAGCTTGGTGTATTTCTGACCTTGCAAGTGATTTTCCGGCAGCTTACCCGGAGCTTTTGCCGGAGTCTTCTCTCCTCTCTCTAGACCTGCCATCTCAATATATATATATATATATATATATATATATATATATATATATATATATATATATATATATATATGATGGTGTAAATTACCTAACCGGGTAAACTCTACTAGACCGGGTCTAGAATCGTTTACTTGATTCGATAAAGTAAGGAGGTAAAAACACGCAAAATGACCAGTAAGGCTGTAGGTGGAAACACTTGTAGCCTAATTGATAATAATATGAGAGAATGCACGGGTGCTTTTACAAGGGAGTTTAGAGAAAATGAATTCGGATCCCTCTCTCTGAGGTTTACAGCAGTATTTATACTACGTTTGGGGGGGAACATGACGTCGTGGACCCATGTGGAGGCACGTTCTCGGATGGTAAGAGGTGATGGGCTTCGTCCTCTAGCTGCCTTGTCATCTTGTGTGGGAGATTACCTCTTTTGTCAGGTAGTGCCTTGGATGGAATGTTCGAGTATCTCCAGCGATCCTCCACTGATATGGGTCGCTATAGTCCAAGCCCTTTTAGATTCCCTTCTGCCGACGCTTTCTAACCCTAGAAACTACACTAGGTAGTTTCCTAGGGGCAAGTTCATCGCATTTAAGGAATGAATGAGGTGATGAAGTAGTTTGACCGGTATACTTTTTCTGAAGTATACCGGTCATCTTTTGACCGATTGAGTGTCCTCCGGCTGACGATTAAAGTCTCCCTTTCCTGTACTTTCAGATTGACCGGTCAACTATTTGGTCTTCTCCTTTGACTGGTCATGGGTGGAATACACCCATCAATAAGCCCTCCACTTCTCGGTCATGCAATTTGTCATGAGCGGGAAGTAAAAAATCTGAAATTGGACTTCAATTTCGAATTTTAGGCTTTTCCCGCCTGAAAATTTCAAAATTTGAAAATCAATTTCTGAATTTTGACATGTGTTGGACACCCGCTGCTGCAACGGCTGGCTGTCCACCCGCCATTTCGCCTGCCAGTGTGTCATCATTGCCCCACCTGACGCGGCGCGCTCTGCATAGGCCACGTCGCTACCTTTTGGCTTCCCTCTTCCTATATAGAGACCCTCGACCCTCTTCACTTCACACTTTTTGCCCTTCGTGTCTTCAGAGCTTTCACCGGTTGAATTCCTTCTCTCACTTCTCAGCCCTCTGAGTCAAGTAAGTTTCCTTCCTTGTCTTTACATTTTTCCCGGTTATGTCTTCTGTACATAGCCGTAGGGTTTCATCCTCAGAGGACTGCTCCTCTGAGGATTCCAACTCGTCCTCCTCGACCGGGTCCTCTTCCTCTGATTCCCGGCCTGGTCAGATTCCTAACCCTCAGGTCCCTGACCCGCAACCTATAAATCAGGTAGCCGGTCAGATGTTCACAGAGAGGGATGAACCGGTTGACAACGAACCGGGTCCCTATGATCCGGACAACGAGTCCTGGGAGGAGTGGGAAGAGCGGCTTCGTGCTGCCGGTTATTTCCCACTCTCTACCTACTTCGCCCTTGACATTCCCTCCCATGTATCCAAAATTGCCTTAAATAAAATCCGTAGAAGGCTCCCGGATGGGTACACCCTTTTATATAAACATGACTGGCCCAACATTGTTGAACCCCACCAGGAGGATAGGATAGGGTTCCATACGATTTCCCTAGATGCAGGCACCGTTTTTCCTCTTCGCCCCCTCCTAACCGAAGTATGCCACGCGTTTAGGATTTTACCCGGCCAGATAACTCCTAACGCCCACCAGTATCTTCATTCCTTTGTAAATATTTGCTCCCACTTCAAGATTGAGCCTTCCTTGCGTCTCTTTCTTTTCTGTTTTGAGGTCCTACCGGGCGGACCGGCTGAAAGGTTTTGTATACTTCAAAGGCCGTACCGGTAGGAAGTTTATTTCTGAAGTCCCCCAGAGTAACCGGGGATGGAAGGAAAAATTTGTTTTTATCGAGTTTCTTCCTTTCGTCACTCCGCTAGCCGGTCTGAAGTGGAACGACCACCTCCTCAACCAAGAGTACGCTGCGCCGGCTTCCTCCCCTAACTTGGAAGCGAATCTTGAGATCCTCATGCGCGGTGATCCTTTCACCGGGAGGATCTTCCACTATGGCAGCTGGGTTTGGCGGGTCGAGTCGGGTGGTGAGGGTACCTCCCAGGCCCATGAAGCAGCGGGGCACGGGGTACCCTCCCCGGGCAAAACTGCAGAGGCTGAGGGCTAGAACCACCCAGGTATTTTTCATTCTTCTTGTGATTTGTGCTTGACCGGTGTCTTTTCCTTGTACTTAACGATTTTAGCTTCTTTTGCAGATATGGAGTTCGAGGAGTTTGCCCTCCCCAATGATCAGCCCGGGGGGGGGGGGGGGGGGG